AACCCCTACAAATTTCATATAAGCAAAAAAGAAAAATTTTTTATAAAAAAATTTTTTTACTGAAATTGAAAACTGGGCCCAAAAAAGGGGAAGGGCCAACTTTTTTTTAGGCCCCCTTTTTTTGCACTTTTTTTTCATTTCATGGTACACTCCCAAAAAATGCTTCACACCCGCCCCTTTTTAAAAATAAACAAAATATGCCTAAAATATTCATTTGCCCCAAAACATAACAATCAGTACTTACCGGCATTGTAGAGGGTAAAAACCAAGGGTTTTTTGAGTCTCCCTAGATGAAAAAATGTTTAAATTTTCCCGGCAAAACCCAAACCACATCTTGGGCTCTCAGCCCAAAGGGGAAATGAGGGAAAAAGGGGGGGCACCACTTACTGAAGTGACTCAGGGGAAGGGTTTGGGGAAAAACCAAAAAAAGAACGGGAATCTAGATGTGGGCCCCCGAGTTTAAAAACACGCCCAAAAAAAACACATGCTCAAACCCACAAATTTTTCAGTCCCGCCCCATAAAGGGGTTTGGGTTACACTTTAGGGGGTGTTTTCATCGGAAAAATGAATTACAATGAAAATTTGAACTGCTAAACAACCCAGAAATTTGTACTGTTTTAAATGTAGTGATGTTTTCCCTGAGAAGGGGAAAAGGGGGTTATCAAAATTTGGGAAAAAGGGGCTATAATATTCTATTATCTACCTTAGTGTGTGAGTTTAAACCCGGAGTTTACCTTTTTGAGAGTTCCCGGGGGGGCCCAAAGCCCCCGCGGCCCGGTCTGAGGGCCAGGGCCCCCTTTGGTTGGGTCAAGCCTGATCAACCAGGCTGTTGCGCTGGTGCATTCAAACCAACATAGAAACCCCCCGCCCCGGGTGATCCGGAACTGGGCTTTAGGTGCTTGTCCAGTGCCCCGCTTGAAAAAACTGCCCGGGGTCTGTTGGTAATCCCCCCCTTAAAGTGTGCTGGGAGGGAGTTGAACAGTCCCCGGGCCCCCGACACTTATTGATTGGGCTCTTAACGTGCTAGTGACCCCCCCCTTTTTTTTTCCGGGGGGGGTGGTGCAGTCGTCTGCCCCAAGTCTTTTTCTTTCGTAGTGGGTTTTTCGTGGGCAAGTTCGGTACTAGTCCCCTAGGATTTTTTCCGGGGGTATTAAACATTATCCCCTCCCCCCCCCTTCGTTTCCGGGAAAATAAAAGGGTTTTGGAACCTAAAACGCCCCCAATAAATTTAGGTGTTTTATCTCCGTTTTGCGCGCCGGTTTTAAAATTCTCCCGTACAAATTTTTTAGGTCGGCCATTTCACCTGCCTTGAAAGGGGCTGTTTTGTGTGCAGCCCAAAATTCCACCTAGATAGAAACAGTGAAACCAAAAAGTGGCATCATGGCTTGGCCCCCCAGTTTTGAAGGTTCTATTTTCCATCCTGTCATTTTTTTTAGCAGAAGCGTTGATACAATTTATGGGGTTTTAAGGTGAGATCCTCCGACATTGATCACTCCCAGGTCCTTTTAAAGTTGGGTTTTTGCCCCATTTTGTTGGGGCCCGAATTTGTTTTTTTAAATCGATGAAGATTTCTTTCCCCATGTTTACCATAACTTAGGGAAAGAAATTTCTCACGTTGAAATTTATATTGTTTTTTTTGCAGGGGCCCCCCCGAAAGATTTGGTTGATGTCTGCCTGGAGCTTTGCAGTGTCTGCAATGGAAGACACTGTCCAAGGGAATGTCATGTCATTTCACATGTAAGAAAAAATTTTAATTTTAAATTTTAAAAAACCCAATTTTTAAACCTTAGCCAGACGGGGGTTATTTCCTTTCCAGAAATTGGGGTTTAAAACAAAATTTTAAAATTATTTAAAAAAAAACCACAAAACCCTTTTAATTTAAATTTTTTGGACCTAACATCCACCTCCCTTTTTCCCTTTCACAAAAAAATTATTAAGTAAATTTAAATTTACTAAATTTAAAGACCCAAAAATTACCTCCGGTTCAAACAAGGGGCCCAAAGGGGATATTTTTGGAAAATTTCATTTTCCCGGATGAACTCATTACATACATTCCCAAATAAAAAGGAAAAAAAAAATTTAATATTTATCAAAGTTACAGAGAAAAAGTAGGGAAAATTTTTTGGAACACCTAGGTCACAAAAATGTCCCCTTCCCAAAACCTACCATTGTCTTTTCCCCAAGTTCCCTAACCCATAATTTAATTTTCAAATGAAATGTAAACCACCAGGAAATTTTGTTAAAAATTTTCATAATTTTTGCAGACGGGATATAAAAAAATAAATGATTACAAATACACAAATTTTTTTAAAAGGGAAGGGGAATTTATAATCATAACACCACCAAAAATTTGTCCGGAATTACTGTGTATTTAAAACTCCCAAAAAAAAACCCCCCTTAAAATAAATTTATGATATAATATGGCCAAAATACAAAAATAATTTTTGATAGGCTTATCTGGGGTTCCGAGCTGCCTGCATCAATTTTTAAAGCCCCAAATTTTTGCAAAATTGGCCCAAATCCAACATTTTTTGCCTCCTATTTGAGAGGTTTAAAAACCCAAAATAACCTCTAAAGCAACGAAAAATTTTTTCTTATTTTCACTAACGTTTTCTTTGGCCCCATTCAAAAACATGGCAAGTGACCTCTGTGCAGCGCGCAGAGCTTCCCATTTTTTATAAATATAATTTATATTAAATACAATATAAACCATCAATTTACATATAAAATACTGTATTTCCATAAATATATACAGTATTTTCCACAAGGCCTTTGATACTCTCAACCACAAAATATTATGCAAGAAACTTCAAGCTATCGGCATAGGCTCCATAGAATGGTTTAAGTCCTATCTTAACAACAGGAAACAAATTGTCAAAATCAACAAAACAGAAAAAGGACCTATAGCATGTGATGTACAAGCCAACCTCCTCCCCCCCCCCCCCAATGTTGCTGTTAAGTCTGTCTCATCTGAATAGGTTAAAACCTGAGAATCAATATTTCGTTGTTGAGATAGTTCTTCATGTGGGTCTCTGAAAACTGCAAATATTGTATTTGACTCTGTGAGCATTAACATGATGTAAGGTATTTTGTTGTTTGATGATGGCTTTAGACAGTGTATGTGTTGGAACTTATTCGATCCGAGAAGTCCCAACGGGAAAAAAAACACCGTTCGAGAGCCCTTACACCCACACAAAAACAAAAACACACTCTCCTGGATTGACATAGGTGGTTGAAAGGTACTTTTAATTTATAGATTTACCCATCAGGGAAGTAGGTAGTTTATACTGTTAGTACACTAATATTAGGATTATTGAGGCAACTGTAGATAATAATAATGTAGACCTAAGACCTTAACATAGGTAAGTAAGTAAGTAAGTAAATTTATTCAGGTATACACAATACAGTTACATAGAATTATCATACATAGCAGCATATGTGTAGAGAAGCTAGGATAACCCAAAAAAGTCAGACAGAGTGACTTATTTCCATTGGGGTCCATTGGGGTAGTAATAGGCCGATAATGTAGGCAAACACTAGGTTAAGTTAGCTAGGGAGAACTGGCAGCCCAAGTTTGAACGACGAGGCACGGGTCTCGAAGACGCCACATCTTTCTTCTATGACCAGACATCATCTGGACAACACGTGCCGTGATCAGCAGACGGCGCCCCCCACGTGTCTTCACATATGAGACCTGGGGAAATCTGGTGGAGGCACCTCGATGTACCGTAGATGACCTCCTCCATCAGGCCCATAGGATTTCTGGCCAGTGTCTGGGGAAAATTGCGAGTGAGTTGAGCTGTGGCCTTTGTGCAGCCGGCAGTTCATGACCAGTACGTGATTTTGTCTCTTGTCTACCTAGAAGCTAGTGTCCGTTTCTGCATAGTTATACTAGGGGATACACACCCTCTTGGATACAGGAATTTCTGAGGTGCAGGCAGGTCACTAATATTGATTGAATATTGCAGGAATTAAGGCTCATGGTTGCACGTGGTTTCTGAGGGGAAGTCCGAAGGGGCTAAGCTTAGGGAGGTTGAAGATCAGGATATATGCTGCAACACCAAGTAAGTTAGTCCTTTAAACGTGTATGCAGGCGAGGTTTCTTGCAACATCAGTCATTTATGAAAATCTGTCCTATAAGCCACTTGTGAGGCTGAGGTACCGGCTTCAGAGCTCGGTGTCAACAGAGCTTGCCAGGGTAGGAGACTCACTTGGAGGCAGTCCAGACAAATTTTCACAGTATGTTTGCAAAGATAAATGTCATTATATTGATGGAATTTAAGGGGGCTTTGTTTGCTGGCATTAATAATGTTGTTCTGTAATACTTAATAACACAATCTTCGGATGATTACAATTGGTGTACATAATAATGTGTAAATTACCGAGGACCCGAATGGATATAAGTCACTTTGGTTATTTTGGGTTATCCTAGGTAGTCTACGCATGTGCTGCCATGTATGATAATATATGTAACTGTATTAATGTGTACCTGTACCTGAATAAAGTAACTTATAACCCGTAACAAACTCAAGCACATTATTTTCATTGTGATCTTGTGGGGTCTCTGAGTTATGTTCAGCCTTATGTAAGTATACTTGATAAGCTTTAAACCTCCATAACCAACTAATGAAAGAGTTATGGTGGAAGTAATCCACAATGCTTGTCTTTTCAAGAGGTTATTTAGAGTTAAATAACCCTCAGAGGTTAATATTGCGAAAAATATATTGTAGTTTCTATGTTGTCATCGCCATCTCATCAGCCACCTGATTGGCTGCTTCTACCTCTATCCGGATCATTGATATCCCGATATTACTTTAACTTTTTTATTAAAACAAGAGTTTTCTTGAATTTTAACTTGCTTTACTTATCCACTCTTTACACCATAACATTACGCAGAGAACTCATAAAATTTCTAGACGTTAAAATGTGGAATAAATGTATTTCCGGGAGGTCATAACCAGGAGTCGAGGCTCGTCCGGACACAGTGTTTACAAGGCAGGTCTGGCGGTAGGGTCGTTATAATGGCTGGATTATTATATATTTTGTCTTGGGTCTCTACACTCGTCCATATATGTTTAGGAACTCTTGCTTTAGGTAAGTTAAGAGTCATTAACTCCAGGTGTGGGGAAAACAAGGTTCTTGGTTGATGGTGGCGTGTTAGTAACTACCAAACTTCCACACCGTAGTTATACCGGTCAGCACTGTCAGCGTTGCTGACACTCAGCACTGGCACGGTCAGCACTGCTGGCACTGTCAGCACTGCTGGCACTGTCAGCGCTGCTGACACTCAGCACTGGCACGGTCAGCACTGCTGGCACTGTCAGCGCTGCTGACACTCAGCACTGGCACGGTCAGCACTGCTGGCACTGTCAGCACTGTCAGCACTGTCAGCGCTGCTGACACTCAGCACTGGCACGGTCAGCACTGCTGGCACTGTCAGCACTGCTGGCACTGGCACTGTCAGCACTGCTGGCACTGGCACTGTCAGCACTGCTGGCACTCAGCGCTGCTGACAGCACTGGCACGGTCAGCACTGCTGGCACGGTCAGCACTGCTGGAACTGTCAGCGCTGCTGACACTCAGCGCTGGCACGGGCAGCACTGCTGGCACTGTCAGCGCTGCTAACACTCAGCACTGGCACAGTCAGCACTGCTGGCACTGTCAGCACTGGCATCTCGCACTGGCACTGTCGCCCCTGTCAACACGTGGCACTGCATATTTAAAAATTTTAAAATCCTT